AATTTCCGTTGCACGTGAAGCAAAATCAAATCAGTAATTTCGCATAGAATAAATTTGGCGAATATCGTATACAATTACTTTCCATATACATACATACATATATGTATATATAACATGTATATGTATATAACAATAGCATAATTACAATATATAATCAAGCATAAAAAAAATCATAGTAATTTAGCTGGGGAATGAACGCGTTTAGACCACGCAACAGCTGAGTTTTGAACTATCTTCTTTTCTCTTTTAGCTAATTCACATTTTCAATAGATTTGGCAAACACAACATTGGCATATATATATATATCTATGTGTGTGTGTGTAAGTACATCGTAATCCACATCAGTTGTGGATAGTTATCGCATAAAGTTTGACTCATCTGCAGATTCACAAATATTCGAAATTTTGAATTCGATCGATTTTCTTCTCCCCTCTCTCTCTCTCTCCATATGCCTCTCATTCTGTGCTTCAGCTTAACAATTAAGTAAATCGTGGAAAGGCTTTAAGCCAGCTCCACGCTAGTCGCTCAGAACTCGTCCAAAATCATCTGCTGCGAGGTAAACGAGACGCTGTTGATGCCGCTGCTGCTGCTGCTGCTGGTGCTGCTGCTGCTGGTGCTGCTGCTGCTGATGCCGCTGCTGCTGCTGGTGCTGCTGCTGATGTTGCTGCTGCTGCTGATGATGATGATGTTTATGCATGGCTGTTGCATGCTGCAGCTGCTGTTCATACTGGCTGGCAACAGCTGGCATCGCTGCAGCACTGTTTGTATGTTAGAAGAGACGCTTCTCGTAGCTGAACAGGCCGTGCACATTGCCCTCCAGCTGGGCCGAGTGGGTGCGCTTCATGAAGCGCAGCTTCCCATTGTAGATCATCTCTCTGCCATGAATTAGAAAGAGATGGAGAATATATAGAATGGAATGAGAGATGCTGGACGCTTGCGAGGACAACTCACCTCAGCTTGCTAACGGAAATGGCGCCAATGTCCTGGCAGCTATGCTGCAGTCCGCACTCCAGATACGGCAGATAGCGCAGCACGGAGCCCTTGTCCACAATGCTGCCGCTGACGCCCTGGGCCACCTTCATCTTGTCCATTTCGTTGTGATAGTAACGGGACATGGCCGCACCTTTGGCATCGCCACGCTCCATTGCCTCCAATGAGCCCATGCCGCGATACTTCTTCAAGCGCACGCCATCGGAGAAGAAGTACTCACCGGGCGCCTCCGAGGTGCCAGCCAGCAGGGAGCCCATCATCACAGCGCTGGCGCCCAATGCCAGTGCCTTCACAATGTGCCCAATCGACTGAATGCCCCCATCCGCAATCACCGGCACACCGAACTGCTTGGCGAACGTCGACACCTGGTGCACGGCCGTTGCCTGCGGGCAGCCGCAGGCCATCACCTCCTGCGTAATGCATATCGAGCCGGAGCCCATGCCCACGCGCAGTCCATCCACTCCAGCATCAATTAGATTCTTTGCCTGGGCACGTGTGACCACTGTGTAGGGGTGTGTATATGTGTGTGTGTGTGTGTGTTTGTAGGGGGGGAATTGATTGGTCAGCGGTTAGTAATCGAGTTTACGAAACTTATCAGCCACAGTGCGTAATAAAAGCGTGCGACAGAGAGGGTAATTAAGTTGCCTATTCTACTTTATTGGTCAATAAAGGGAAACAGCAAGAGAGATAGAACGAGACAGAGATTATTGTGCTCTATATACATACATATATACACACAATATACACTATCTTTATTTTATTGATTGAAGAACTGCATTTATCTACTGATAAGGTTGACCAACTAAAAGATAGTTGAATAAGTTATTGTGAAATTTTTTACCCTTTCTTTGGTCTTTCTTTTTTCGCAAATCCTTATCTTGACATCTGCAATCAATTGTATATCCGCCAAATTGACTGTTCACGATTTTCCGATTCTTATCTTTACACATTCATAATCTACCTCATAGCATTTGGGAAACTTTAGACATAAACAGATATAAAAATTAATGCATATGATCTATATTTATCTCACCTCTATTTGCTCTGCTCGCTTACTTCTGTCGCTTGAAGAATATCGATAAATATCGATCGACAGGCCAAAGGCTTAAGCAGTATATGCTTTTGCTCTGCAGACTATTTCTGCTAAGTCATTAATCTTTTTTTCAAAATCCATAATCTATAACCTATCTATCCCCATCTTTTTCTCTCTCTCTGTCTCGATTCTTTCTGCTCGTCCAATAGTTTTCTTTTAAGGCTAGGCATGCATGATTGTGCGCGAAAATGTGGGAGATGTAATTACCGTTGCCGCCAATGACCTGAAGATCCGGATAGGTCTCCTTGATGAATTTGATCATCTCCACTTGGTAAATGGAATTGCCCTGGGATGAGTCCAGCACAATGACATCAACACCATTCGCGACGAGCAGATGCAGTCGGGCCTTGTCCTCCGGCCGGGTGCCAATGGCGGCGCCCACCAGCAGCTGCTTGTTGGAGTCCTTGGAGGCATTCGGATACGAACGTGCCTTCTTCAGATCGGTGCGCGCAATCATGGCGACCAGTTCGCCGGCCTGATTCACAATGGGCAGCTTGCCCTTTTTGCTCTTCTCCAGAATGGCGTTCGCCATGGGCAGAGTGATGCCGTTGGGTGCCGTAATCAGCTGCGTGGTCATAATGTCCGCCAACAGTACGTCCGGCTGTTGTTCACGGAAATCGATGTCTCGCGACGTGACCATGCCCAACAGCTTGCCGCCCAGCTTGCCATTCTCGGTGACGGGGTAGCCGGTGAAGCCATTCTTGCGACGGGCCTCGAGCACATCGCCAACGGTATTGGTCGGCGACATCACCGACGGATCGCGCATAAAGCCATGTTTGTATTTCTTAACCTTGTGCACCTCCAACGCTTGGTACTCCGGCGTGCAGTTGTGATGGATGATTCCAATGCCACCACACAGCTGCGCGTGGTTCCCCCACCACAAAATAATTCCGAACGAGGCGGCGCAGAGCGTGAAGGGAAATATACATTCGTTTTTTTTTTAGCATAATAGAGGCGCATAAGAGTGTTCAATTACAACCACAACTGGAGCGAGGCCGATACCAAGATTCAGCACCAAATGGCGATGTGCATCGGTCGGCGTTCGTCGGTTTATCGGTTATCGTTCATAGTGTCAATCGATCACACCGCCCATAGAGGACAGTGTGCGAACAAGGCTGCAAACCGAACGAGCGCTTACAACAGCATTAATTGGGTTAACATGATGTTAACATTAGCTGATCACAGAGATGAAGCACGTCAACAACTACATTAATTGGGTTAACATAATGTTAACATTAGCTGATCAGGCAGATCCTAGCTGCGAGATATGTTAACACAAGCAAGCAACAAGAATTTCAATGTTAAGTACAAGTCAAAATCTGTTAAGTAAATCAACTTTCATAGTCTGGCTTATATAGACATCAGAGAACTGCAAATGTATCAGTTTTTGCCACCTTACTCACACTCAATAAAATTTGTGTATCATAATAAATAGCGGCATTTATGCTTTGACTAAAGGCAAAAAGCTGACGTGGGAATAAAATGCACCGATTTGCAGCCTTGTTTAGCAATGTGTGTGTGTGTGTGTGTGTATACATTTAAGTTAGAACTGTTATTGAACACTTACCGCCATGGCTATGGCCATATCAGATTCGGTTACCGTGTCCATGGGCGAGCTAACTAACGGGGCACAGAGTGTGATGCCCTTCGTCAGTGGGGAGCTGAGATCGACCGACTCGGCGGCGAAGTCTATGTAGCCCGGTAATATGAGAAAATCACTAAATGCAGCATGGGGAGTGTAACATGAGCATATGATTAGGGCATAGATTCAAAATATGTACATACATATATAGAAGAGATACACACATACAGCATGTAACCTAGTTGCATGAGTGTATTGGTGAGAAGCACAGGGGGGGGAAGCAGACTTACTTGTAGGTGAGACCTTCACCATTTTTAAATAGTTCACTGCAGCTCAGTCCGTCCTGAAGTAGTTCCTCTGCCTCGGCCTCTGTCGCAGTTGTTGTTGTTGTTGTCGTTGCTGCTGCTGCTGATGATGCTGTAGTTGTTGTTGTTGTTGTTGATGCACATGCATCGCCGCTGCCTATTAAGCCATTAGCTTTTGGCTTCTGATTGGCGCCGTCAACGTCGGCGACTGCGTTGTTGTTCGCCATGCGAGCGTTTACCTTAGTTAATCGATGTCAGCACAGAAACAGCAACAACAACAAGAAACAATTGTAAATTAATAGACGAAAGCAATAACCGCTTTAAGTGCCTATATAAACGTCTTTATTTCTATCTGTGCTATATATGCATATACATACATATGTGTATATGCACTATGCACACATATATAGACGTATGTAAGTATTTATGTTTGTGTGTGCTAATCGTCTCCTTTGGGCTGATTGCGACTGTTGCCAAGCCGCCTCAATTTATGTTCAAATCAATTCAATTGCAATTGACAATCAAAACGTTCCTAAAACCAGATAGAATTGTATTAAGGCAAGCAATCAAAATTGTTTTTAAACATTGCAAACGGCAATAAATAAATAAATATAAATAAACAAAAATTTGTAAGGCAAAATAGTCAAGTCGAATACCCAATGCGCTTACGAATCCAATTTTTAAAGGGAATAGAACTGTTTTGAAGTAGAAATTTGAAAAAAAAAAAAAGTATTTAAATCTTCAAATATATAGGCATTTATTTAATTGAATTTATTTTAGTCTTTCTGTTTCATTAAATGAGTTACACGGATAGACACAAAACATATAAAAAATCATAGACATTGAAATAGCACATGGACCCGAAGCGAGCTTTGCAGCTGGGAACGCTAGACAGGCAGACAAAACGACAGACAGACGAATAGAGGGTCAGACAGACTGGAAGGATATTACGTTGTGTAGCATCTGCACATACAGAATAATCTATTGAGTATACGGATTCATTTAAGCGCATAGATTCAATGGTCAGCGGAATTGATGCGCTGGACGCAGACGGAACCTGTTTAAAACTGAGCACGTGTTTTTTATATTTACCCGTCCAGCCGCTATTCCAACCGAAGGCGTCGAAATATTGCCATTAATTGCTAGGTACTTTTATGAGAGATGAGAAATAATATGCAAATATATCGATAGCCCATGTAACAGCTAATCGATGTATCTATCGCCAAGCTTCTAAATACGGCTATTGAATAAATATGTAATTTTAATAAATTGAAGCAAAATAAATTCAATTGTATGGAACTTAATTACTAACAACACTATATGCATCAAAACCCAAAATATACTTTCTAAATTCAAATTAAATGAACTTTAAACATAAATGTCAAAATTTTCAAATTGTATGCTGTTCAATTTCAATATGAATATTTCAATGTATATATACAGATATACAATATGTTTTTCATCTTTATGGAATATGTTTCAATTCAAATAAATGTCAAGTTAGAAAACAACGGATATTGTATATTTTCTAAAATTTAAATCAAATATTACCGTATAATAATTTAGAAAAAAGGGCACACTGTCGATCAGCTGTTTTGGTTTATAGGGGCTTGCCTACGTACACTGACACTAGCCAGAGAACACATGGACTGACATGTCTCCTAGGGCCTATCAGCATTGTTGCCATTTTAGCCTATTTATGGCTAGATCTAGCCTATTTGGAAATGAAATAGCCTGGAAAATTGTCGTAATGCTTATAGCCTTTAAATATTTTGCTTTTGTATTTCTGCCATTTTATATTATTTGGCTATCTATAGAAGCAAATCGAACTAATCTCTTTTGTAGGCATTTTGGTTTAACATGATATTTACCATTATATACCATGGTAAATACCATAAATTAATTCTGAAATACAAATGATACTGTTAAATTTTCGTAGGAAGTATTGACATTTAAGGATGCTAGCAAAAACAACTCGTATCGTGAAATTGCATTTTTTGCAATAGAATTTTTTGCTACACAAATACACGAAAGCACAATCATTTCGCTTCATGCGCTCGACCGAAATGGTCAAATGTTGAATAATGTTGTTCTTGCTCTCTCGCTCTCTCTGCTCTCTGCTCTCTCAAATATGTATATGTATATATACATGTGAGCACAAGTAGCAGCTCACGAAAATTGAAATTTCTTCGCGTTAGATTGCCGTTTCTTCCTTTACGTGTGAAGACTCTTCAGTGTTGCCGAAACTTTTTCAGCAAAAGTAGCAAAACCGAAGGCTGAAAGTAGCTAACTTTCTTCTAAAATAGCTGAAAAGTAGCAAAAAAGAAAACAGTGCTGTTTTTTTTTTTTTTTTTTTTTTCATAAAAAGTCAACTTTATTAATTTAATTCTGAAAATATCTCATCTATGACCACCAACTAACTCGTCATTTTCACCATTGTCGCTTTTATAATTTTTTATAATTTACATTTAAATCATTTACATTTAAAAAGTATCGAAGCCAATTTTGCTATAAGTTCGCTCGCATTTTAGCTAAATGCAATATTTGAGAATAGCCAGATTTGTAGCTAATAGCTGTTTGAAAATTTGTGTAGCAATCGGCCTTAAAAAGTAGCCAGATCTAGCTACAAAATAGCTGATTTTTAGAGTATTCCGAACTATTCAAACCGTTTACCAAGCTCTGGTCGGTGCTATGTATAAGATGCTGCACCCCGTTGAGCGAAGACACAAACCACAAGCAAAGCTTAACTAAATTCGCTTTTAGCTCTACGTGAGCGCTTAATATGCTATTCAGCATATTAACAGTATGTAAACAGAACTTGAAGGCAGTGCGCGCATTTTAAATATATAATTTAATTTATTAAATATGTTTATTAACAAATGACCAGATTTGACATTGTATTATTATAAGAGTGACCAACTAAGTGCTGGCTATGACAAATTAAAGCTGAATTGACGACTCGTTTATATAAGCATCATGTTTTCAAGGGAATGTAATAAAGGCCTCTGCTGTTATCCAGTTCCATGTTGCATACTTTTAAGCGCGCTCTGCCTGCCGTCGGCCATCCGGTACAGCGAACAGTCGGCTCGGTTCGGTCCGACTGGATGAATGAAACGAAGCGCATGAAACGAAACAAGAAAACGAACAAATTTCTCTCTCATTCTTAAAATTTCACTCGCCGCGAGCTGTTGTCGTTCGCGCCCGGATAACGACGATATTTCAAAGTTGGTTTTTGTTGTAACTTTTTTTTATTGTTTGTTTTGCTCATGCGAGTAACGTATTTTGTTGCAAATATATAAATTTGAATGCGATTAACAAAGTGGCAGCATAAAATGCAAAAGTATCTGTGTGCCTCTCTCTCACACTATCGCTCTATCGCAGTCTCTGTGTGTGTGTGTTTAGTTATTGCCTTTTGACAAGTGCAGCGGAATAGGCGCCAATAAGGACGCTGCCGGCAACGGCATTGCAACTCCATTTGTTGTTTGCTGACCAACTTCCTTTGACCTCAGCTCCCTGTCCCTCACCCTTTCTTCACCACTCCCTCTCACGTTCCTTTACAACGGCAACAACAAATTAATTGCAATGTAAAGTAATTCATTGTTTTTTTTTTTATGTGTTTTTGTTTCTGTTTGCAGATAATCACATATATGTAACATATATAACAAATATATAAATGTATATATACAAATTTTTTTGTGTCGTGACAAATTGAAAATGTGACAAAACCATTACAAAGAAATGTGTGCAAGTGCAAGCGAGCAAGCAATAAGCGCCTAAATATTAGCCTAGGATAAAGTTAAGAATTCAAGCATATGCATATACATATATAGCTATATTTAAACTATATGTATGTA